ATGGTTATTGAAGGTGATGTCAGTCTGCCGTGGTCTCATGGTTACTGAAGGCGATGTCAGTCTGCTGTGGCCTCGTGGTTATTGAAGGTGCTGTCAGTCTGCTGTGGGCTTTGGTGACAGTTGGACAAGGTTGTGGGATTCTGTTCTTTCCTCCCTTGCTCCAAGGCATCCCGTCATACTGCGGAGGCTGGAAAGCTAAAATCCAACATTTCTCAGACTCCCTTGCAGCTAGAGTTCCAGGTTGGGTGGATGCACTTGCGGCCGGTATGGAAAGTGGAAGTGAAGCAGAGGCCATTTCCTGCTCTCTAGGGCCATTTGTACGGCCAGCAAGGTCACAAGGACATGATACTGTATCAACCCTCCCTCTAGCTCTGGAGGGTGGAGAAGCAGTGATGGAGCTGACCTTACATCCCAGTGCCCACTCACTGGCTTTGTAGATGTTGTCAGGCAGTGGGGGCTGCAGCCTTGGTGACTTCAGCCACACCAACCATGTGTTGTTAACCTCAGTTAAGTCCAGTATGTTCCTGGTGCCCCACTTTCCTGATGGGCAGAGGCAGAAGGTCTCTGGTTGGTCATTGTTGAGAGGCATATTTGGCTTCTGAGAGGCATAATTGGGCCTGAAACCCTCTCTCTTGATCCACCAATAATTTGGAAAGCACCAATCCTTCATGTTAAATCCCTTTTCTGCTGAAAATATCCAGAGTGGTATATGGTTCCTGTCCTGAGCACTGGCAGACACAAGTGCTTAGAGCAAAAATGAACACATGCTGAGGTGAAAGATTCCCACTGATCACAAAATTGTTCTATCACTCGAGAGAAGCTCAATTTCTTCTCAGTTCTGAAGTCTGAGGTCAGAGAAAGCTATAAACATGGTGTTGAAGCCCGCAGCCCTGCAGGCAGCTCCTGTGCCCACTGGAATGCACAGCATCCAACACGCAGTCTGCACCTCTGCTCACCCTGTCTTAGGAGGACTCTTCCCCTTCCCACACCCACCTGCTGCTATGATAGCACCTTTTACCTTTCTTTACATAGATAAATGCAAACATAGTTTTACTTAGGTAGAGGACTGTGAGAGTTTCTTTTTCTTTTTTTAATGTGGTCATCTTTATTACTCTGAAGTTGTATTAAAAAGTAAACATATTTGTTGAATCTGACTCATTCATTAAGCCCTTGTTCAAACACTCCTCCTCCAGGAAGTCTTCCCTGATTGCCTGTCCAAAGGTGTCTTTTCTCTCCTACTAAGTTTCTGGAAGGCAGTCCTGGCTTCAGATTGATTGTTCAGTGTTGGAAAGCAGAAAAGATTCTTGATGGGGAGTAAAATAAAACAAAATAAAATATATGAGTGAGTCTAAGACTTAGAAATACGTGCCTGGGGCTCTGCCAGCGAGCAGGTCTGAGGGCCAAGCATAGGGAAGACAGACTGGTGAGTTCTGTGTTAGTGGCCCCAGGGAGCTGGGGCACAAAGGGACTTCCAGGCTCTTTCTCCCATTACTCTCAGGAGCCCAATGCAGTTTGCTGAGCCTTGAAAGAAATGCTATTAGGCTCTCACTTGGGAGAGCTATCTAGGCTCCAAAGAAGGTGGCTTCAGAGTGCCCCAAATCATAATGAAGCATCAAGGAAGGATTGTGGAACAACTGGGCTGTTGGAGGCGAGGGGGATGGCCTGTTTGCCAGAGGCAGGGACAGGCATCGGGAGACAGGAGGAAGGGAAGGAAAGCGAGGCAGGTCTTTGGTTTGGTAGAAATCTGAAAATCCCTGTGGACAGAGTATTTGTGCCATCCTGTTGACACTCTGGGCTGGGCACGTGAGTGCACGTGATATTCTTCAGGTGCTGTGTGGTTTGTTCTGCCCCCCAAGCCTCTGTCCCCCATTCCGAGAAGAGCCTTCCCTTAGAATAGAGTCAGGTAGGGACCTGAACCCACAGTAGCCAGGAGTCATGTCCAGCCAATCCCAGAAAGCCCTGCAGAGCCAGGAACAAGAAACCATGCCTATTATTTTGGGGCCCTGGAGTTTGGGAGCTGTACATGATTCAATATTATTGCGGCAGGTACCTGCCTAATACACCAGATTTGTTGGAGTCAAAAGCTGGCACTGTTCCACCATACCACTCTGCTTCTTGGGAATTAGAGAGCTTTGAAAAAATGTACAGCCCCCCAAAAACTAAAGCCCTGTTGTCATTGTTATTAATGTCCTCAAATTCCTCATTCCTTTTACAACTGCAACTAAGCCTTTTTTCTCCCCTTTTTCTTTCCTTATAGCCACAGAAAAGAACCAAGGCAAATAACCAAGATTTCAGCTCCATTAATTTTTCAGAGCACCATAAATTAAAGAGCAATTGCAATGTAGTTAATTTCTGTGAGAAAATAAGTCTCTGTGATTGTGCTTTAGTCTAATTACATGGAAGGCTAAGTAGTGCTATTAATACCCAGAAGCACATGCTGTCCCCAAGGAAGGTGCCAGAGCAAAGAGACAGCCCATGAGGCTGGAGAGGTTCAGGGATGCACTAGCAAGGACCAGACCTTGGCAAGGAGGCCGGGTCCTGTCACTAGCTGGGGCTTGGTTCAGCCTGGAATCTCCATTTGTAGGCCTCTAACCTGGGTGATTCCTAGTGGCAGAAATTCATTTTTCATTTATTCATCTAACAAAATTGCCATCCATCCATCCACTCATGCATACATGCATGAATCCATCCATCCATCCATTTACTCATGTATGCATGCATGCATGCATCCATCCATGCATCCACCCATCCATCCATCCACTCATGCATCCATCCATCCATCCATGCATCCATCCATCCATCCACTCATGCATGCATCCATCCATCCATGCATCCATCCATCCATCCATCCATCCATCCACTCATGCATCCATCCACTCATCCATCCATCCATCCATCCATCCATCCATCCACTCATCCATCCATCCATCCACTCATGGATCCATCTGCCATCCACTCATGCATCCATCTGTCCATCCACTCATGCATCCATCCATCTACCATTTACTCATGCATCCATCTGTCCATCCACTCATGCATCCATTCACCCATCCATCCATCCATCTACTCATCCATCCATGCATCCATCCATCCATCCACCATCTATCTATCTTCTCACCCACCCACCCATCCACCCATTTGTCCATCCATCCATTCATCCATCCACTCATCCATGAATGCATGGATCATCCATTCTTCTATCTGTCCATTAAATTATCCATCTACCTATCCACTTATTCACCATCCATCCATCACCCACCATCCCCATCTATCTCCCCATCTCTCCAGTTCACCTATCCATCCAACCATCCAGTCTCAATCTGTCCTTCCAACAAATATTTTCATCCAGGTACTTAAGATTAAAATAGTTAAAAAAAAAAAAAACCCCAAACATGGACAATGTCCCTGCCCTAAAGGAGCTTACCCCATATGTATGTCTGGTACAGAAAATAATAAAACAATAGCAGAACTACATAGTTGCACACTGTCATCAGTGCTGGGAAGACTGTGGAACAGGGACCCAAGGTGGTCTGGGCAGGCACAGAGAAGGTTCCTGACATGGATGGCTCTCAATTGCCCTGAAGATCTATGCGGGCACTTTCCCCACCCTTCTCTGGCCCTGGGCCTGACTGTGTAGATAAATCCTCCCTCTCTGGTCCTAGGACTGACCTGTGTAGATGAATCCTCAGATTCCCTCCCTCTGGTTTCTGGTTGGATTCAGTTAAGGGTAGTGAGAGAAGGAGCCTGGTGGTTTCCTCCTGTGCCCTGACTGCTTGGCAGTCACAGCTTGGCAGCCTGCCACAGCTTGGCAGGCCTCAGTTGCTCTAGCTAGGCCCACGTCTCCCACTGGGACCTTTCCTGGACTATGGAGCCTCCTATTGGTCAAAGGTGGAAGGCTGAACAAGGCCTGTCAAGAGATATCCATGCCCTGATCCTTAGTACCTGTGGCCATGACCTTACAGGGCGAGAAAGGACTCTGCTGTTGTGATGGTTAAGATCTATTGATGTGAAGATTGTCCTGGAGTATCTGGATGGGCCCTAAATGCACCTGAATCCTTATGCAAGGAGGGGCAGGAGACTTCTCTCTCTCTTTCTCTCACTCACACACACACACTCATACACCCCACTATGAAGATGGAGCAGAGAGAGATCTGAAGGTGCTGCCCTGGCAGTTTGGAGTGATGCAGCCACAGCCCAAGGTCTGCTGGCATCTGCTGGAGACTGGAAAGCAAGAAGGATCCTTCTCTGGAGCCCCTGGAGGAAGAGGCCCTGCTGACATCTGACCCAGTGAAACTGATTGTGAATTTCTACCCTCCAGAACTGTGAGAGGATACATTTCTGTTACTCTAGGCCAATGAGCCTGTGGTCACTCACTGTCGCATCTACAGGAGACTAAGAAAGGCTGTTTCCCACTGTGTTAGCATCAGCGGCTTCTGTTGGCCACTCCCAGCCGTCAGGACCAGGACAGCCCCGCTCTGCACTGAGGCCAGCCCTGGGTGCTCTCCCACCCCTTTCTGGCCCCAGGGCTGCCCACACCTGGCCAAGTGCTTTCCGTTCCAGTCTCCACACCCACCCTATGGGCAGGGCCCTCCTGGACACAGCTCCCAGAGGAGAAGGTGCTGATTTGGGATCTGGAGAACAAGTCACGGTTCCTGGTGAGGTAGAAAAGTATCCCTGTCTGGGAACGGCCTGGTGGAATGTTATGGGTGTGGAGGGTGTGCTCCTCACCCTGTCCTCACACCTCTGTGTGCTGTGTGCCTCTCACTGCTGCCCCAGTCCCCATAGTCACACAGCCAAGAGGGTGCAATTCCTGATGGCCAACACATCACCTCACATGGGTCTCAAAGAGTAGGGTCATCATGGAGTCCAGTGCCCACAGCCCGGGGACCCTGCCCTAGGCCAGCCCAGGGCTCTGAGTCCCACTTGAATGAGGCTCTTTCAATGTGACATTAATCCCAGGGTGCCCCTGGGGGTCCAGTGTGCAGCCCTGCACCTCTTACCTTGCTGTCCTTGGTATAGGCCAGGACCTTGTCTTCTTCCTTGGGGTGGAAAATCAGAGTCTCCACAAAGAAGGGGATGAGCTGCTTCTGGAAGGTGGCGCCTTCATCGGTGCTGAGGAAGAGGCTCTGGTCACGGTCGCTGAGTGAAGAGCTCAGCAGGATGATCTGAAAGACAGAGGACATGAGGCTCACAGAGCCCTCCACACATAGTGGGGTGCAGAACAGGCTCAGCACCAACCACAGGCAGTCACTCACTCATTCATTCATGGAGTGCTTGGGAGCGGGACACTGTTAGGATGCTGAGGGTAGCCGTAAATACGAGGTTCAAAGTCTCTGCCATAACTGAGAAGCCATTCTGGAAGGGGGATGAGATGAGTGAGCATATCGGCAACTGTGTGTGAAATACAGTTTCAGGGATGACTGATGCCCAGAACCAGGCACAGCTGACTGGAGCAGCTGGAAGGAGGATGGCTGGGAGGAGGGAAGAGGGAAGGAGGGGAGAAGGGAGGAGGGAAGAGGGACAGAGGGAAGAAAAGAGGAAGATGGTAGGAGGAAGACAATGGGAGGAGAGAAGACTGGAGGAGGGAAGAGGTGGAGAGCAGCAGGCTGGGCGACTTCACGACAGGAGAAGGCAGAGCCAGGCAGGGCTGATCTGGGACCTCAGGGGCAGGAGCAAGGGGCTGACATGGGAGACAGAAGGGGTGAAGCCAGTGGGGCTGGAGAAGTGGCCAAGAGTCAGGTCTGAAGGCTGTGGAGGGGCTGAAGTGAATTAGATGGTGTCCCCAAAGGATGTGTCAATATCCCACCCACATGCCTGTGATTGTGACCTTATTTGAAAGAGGGACTTTGAAGATGGAGCTGAGGTCTGAGGATGAGGCCATCCTTGATCTGGGGAAGACCCTGGTGCCAATGACTGGGGTCCTTACAAGAAAGGCCATAGAGACTCAGATGGAAGGTACCACAGGGGCAAGGCAGAGACTGGAGAGACAGGAACGCAGCCATAAGTTGTGACTGCCATGGACTGCTGCAACCCCAGAAGCTGGATAAGGCACAGAACAGGTCGTCCTTTAAGCCTCAGAAGGAGCCAGCCCTGCTGACATCCCGGACTCCTCCAGACCATGAGAGCACAGATACCTGCTGTTTCCAGCTCCCAGTTTGTGGGCCTTTGTGATGGAAGCCAAGGGACGCACACAGCGCCAGGAGAGCTCTGCCAAGTGGGATCTTCTTAAGCAGGGAGGCAAGAGGCAGGGACAGAGGGGGTCTGGCTTGGATTTTCATAGCTCCCACTTGTACCAGTGGAGACAAAGGGGTCTGCACAGGAGCGGATCATTCAGGAGGCCACCACCTCATCCAGGCTGGATTTGGTGTCTTGGTCAGATTTCAGACACTGTATTGCTGTGTTTGGAATAACAGGAGACCCCGACGATTATGCATTGGCCCCAGACCATTTTGTTTTGAAATTGGCAGACAAGGTGCCCATAAAGAGAGAATGGACAGCTCCACCCCATGCGTCTGTTCCTGCAAAGGACACCTGTGGGCAAGTCACCACAGACCCCAGCTGTGCTCTACAGTGACATGTGGTAGACAGCTGTGTGGCCAGGCCAGGAAGTCACCACAGACCCCGGCTGTGCTCCACAGTGACATGTGGCGGGCAGCTGTGTGGCCAGGCCAGGAAGTCAC